TCCGGTATCAATCCGATACGGTGATCTGGTGCGTAGATATGCCACCGCCAATAAACTTTTATACATCGACACCCATGAGCCAAGCTTTCTATACAGTTTGTGTGGCAGCGGCCCTACCAAACCTTCGGTATTTTTTACACCTTCAAATTTGGTAAAAGAGCGAGAGGAGCTTTGAACGGTGATCGTATAAAAGGCGTGCCTAAAAAGCGGAGGAAAAGGTTGTTTTCAAAAATTTCGCGCGCCTTCGGCGCAGCATTTCAAGAACACTTGACCTTTTGTGACCTGGAGTATAAAGAATACACACGATGCAAAATCAATGCAGCACGACCTATACGAGGTTACGCAAAAAAAAAACTGGTGGCATGGTAAAAAACGCCTCCCAACCCCCCCCCCCCCCTCCACCCCGCTGAGCGATTTTTTATCTCGCGACCGTATGGCGCCCTCCTTGGGTGAGGTGGCGCCCTCCAAACCCTTGGCCCCCCCCTTCGCGATTTTCTAAATACGCCGCTGTGGGAGGGTCCCTTTAAGGTGGGATGGTCACTTTAATTATTGCAAGTTGCACGTGCCGTATGAATTGCACCGATAATGATAGCATACTGAATACTGTTGTTTGTGGGTAATTGATTCGCACGACTGTAGCTGATTATGTGTGACGCAATTTTCACACCATTTATGCTCGTTCCTTCACCTTACGGCCTAAGTCCCTTGGTAGCTGGTATTTTGCTGTTGGCTTTATTATGCCATTCCTGGCAGGTAACAGCCACTAAATGGCTTTTAATGTGGTCAGCTAATCCCTTGTTGCCGGCCGTAATCCCTGTGATGTCTGTCATCACGTGCGTAACCGGGTTCGGCCGCATCGCGCGCCATCAGCCGGAGACTCGGTGCCTGAGACCGGTTTGCCCGCCTGTGCAGCTGTATATGATTCAGCGGCCGGCCGGCCGGACAGCAGGGACTGCGGGGGAATCCCCGGGTCCGCCGCCGAGACGGCTCGGTCCCGTCCCGTGGACGCCGGCTCCCGTTCTCACTCCGGGCCCGGGCCCAGTTCCCCCGTCCATTCCAATGTGCGGGCTCAGTCCGACCCTCCAGCGCCCAGCGCCGGGTGTCCAGGGCTCAGTCCGACCCTCCAGTGTCCAGCGCCGCGTGTCCAGGGCTCAGTCCGACCCTCCAGTGCCGGGTGTCCCGGGCTCAGTCCGACCCTCCAGTGCCGGGTGTCCCGGGCTCAGTCCGACCCTCCAGCGCCGGGTGTCCAGGGCTCAGTCCGACCCTCCAGTGTCCAGCGCCGGGTGTCCAGGGCTCAGTCAGACCCTCCAGTGCCGGGTGTCCCGGGCTCAGTCCGATCCTCCAGTGTCCAGCGCCGGGTGTCCAGGGCTCAGTCAAACCCTCCAGTGCCGGGTGTCCCGGGCTCAGTCCGACCCTCCAGCGCCGGGTGTCCCGGGCTCAGTCCGACCCTCCAGTGCCGGGTGTCCCGGGTTCAGTCCGACCCTCCAGCGCCGGGTGTCCAGGGCCCAGTCCGACCCTCCAGTGTCCAGCGCCGGGGTCCGACCCTCCAGTGCCGGGTGTCCAGGGCTCAGTCCGACCCTCCAGCGCCGGGTGTCCAGGGCTCAGTCCGACCCTCCAGAGCCCAGTGCCGGGTGTCCAGGGCTCAGTCCGACCCTCCAGCGCCGGGTGTCCCGGGCTCAGTCCGACCCTCCAGCGCCGGGTGTCCCGGGCTCAGTCCGACCCTCCAGAGCCCAGTGCCGAGTGTCTCGGGCTCATCCGACCCTCCAGTGTCCAGCGCCGGGGTCCGACCCTCCAGTGCCGGGTGTCCCGGGCTCAGTCCGACCCTCCAGCGCCGGGTGTCCAGGGCTCAGTCCGACCCTCCAGTGCCGGGTGTCCAGGGCTCAGTCCGACCCTCCAGTGCCGGGTGTCCAGGGCTCAGTCCGACCCTCCAGTGCCGGGTGTCCCGGGCTCAGTCCGACCCTCCAGCGCCGGGTGTCCGACTCCCGAGCTGAGCTGGAGCCGGCGCCGCAGCGCCGCCGCTGCTCCCGCTGAATGTAATCGCCGTCCGACGGGGCCGGGGCCGGGCGGCGACTCAGCACCCCTCCCCCAGCTGAAGGCGAGAGATTCGAAGAGCAATTCCCATCGAGGTGTTCGGAAGCCGAGTCGTCGGTGTGGAAATATAAATTGAGGCGTGAGTCCAACAGGGACTGGGCGTCAAACGTGACCGACGAGCTGTCGCAGTCCGACAACTGTGGCGGGGACCGTCGGACGGTCCTTCGGACTCTCGCTGCACACCTTTGGTGGCGGAAATCGGTATGCGCTGCAGGATTAAGAGAAAAAATCGAAAAATAGATGCATTGCGTCCCCAGCGTAACGATGGGAAAGGGCGAAACATATTGCAGTGCGCAAAATTAAAGTTGACTTTGACTTACGACGATGTACCATTTTTTTGTGATATGACGACCTGACTTGGGCCAACGGGATCTGAAACTTGCAGGAAGTGCTTATGGCTTATGAAAATGGTGCCATTGGGTATGCCAGATTTGCTGTCGGTATGCTTTGCATTTTCTTCCTTACATCTTTCGCGAATAATCGTTGGTGTAGCTGCTTCAGCTAATCTTGACCCAGGACCCAATTTCACCAAGTGCGGTAAACTCAATTTGGGGTAAACTACCAAACTACCCCACTACGTAACTACAAAAACTACCCCAAAATTGAGCTTACCGCACTTGGTGAAATTGGACCCAGGCGAGCGAGTTGATTAATGAAAGCATGATTTGCAAGGGCATTCTTGTGGTCATATTTCTCCAGTAGATCTTGTACATTGCATAGGGGTACATATCGTTCGAATTGGGACACTTCAGACAGATGGAGAGTGAAAGGACCAATGCCAGACTCATTATCTAAATGTGGGCATCCCTTTGGCCTTCATTGAAAAGTGCAGCTCACCGGGGATGTGGCGGCTGTCAGAGTCTCGCTCCCCGACCGGGAAACACGTCCGCGAAGAACCCTGGGAGGAAGAGCCGCGTCACGGTGTCCAATGGCGGCGCGGCGCCTTCAGCAAACAGCTGCGACGCGCGTCTTCTTTGTGCCGTCAGGTATTACAGGCGACCCGCTGTCAGCGCTGAACGGCCGCTGGTGCGTGTCGCGCAACTGAATGCGGCCATGTCCTCGTCACTGGATGGCGTAGGCTGCGAGGCGGCAAATGTACAATGAGTTGGCGCAAAATGATACCCGTCAGCGTACCCGGAGACGGCCAGTGGCGTGGCCATTTCGTCATTGTTTGTTGATCAAGGCCTCTGTGGACGGTCTCTTGAGTTCCAATCACTAATCACCATGCATGTGAATGGTGCGTCGTCAGGCTCTATCAGCAGTGCGCTCCGCTCCGCTGGAAACTGCTGGCGCTACATTTGTGATCAGCGGGTGTCATATACTGCGAGCTCACAGCACCGGTATTGGTTCTGCGAGGTGCTGAGCTTTGAGCCGACGTTGGGGCTGCTGCTACGGTCTTATATATGTAGGATAACGTCCAATGTATCTTATAGGCATTTACTGACATTACACCAACTGGCACTGACAAACATAAACACCCGTACCCAACATATAAGTACAGTCCACAGCAGAAGTAATGTGTGGTTTCAGTCATGGGTATGTTCTGCTTCTGAAGCCTAGGAACGATTAGCCAGACCGCAACGAGACTTTAAATGTAGCTTACATGTATCTTCACCCTTGCAGCTACAACTTTATCTATTGACGTCTTCTTTTCAATCAGTCCGCATTTAAAAATTGTCGGTCAAAGCCATCCGTTGAGATTGGTAAAACCACACATTACTTTAGCGGTGGGCTGTACATAGGTACATACGTTACATAAGTAGGATAGCCTCCGGGGCAAGACGTCCCAGATAATATATTTTGCTAAATACCTTTTGTCCTACATCACCTGAATGTGGAATATGAACCTAAATGAGCACAAATTTGTGCTCGGTGCGTTCTTTGGACATCTTACTTCAAATTCCCTCCCTCAAATTCCTTGACTTCTGATCGGACTCCCAGCTAGGGAGTGATTTATTAACCCGCGCCGGGCCGGTGCTCAGAGATTCCTCGCCGGGCCGGGCGGGGTCTATTCTGAGTCCTCTCATGCAAATAAATTGGATCTAGCTTAAAAACTGAGCTGTTGAGAGCCGTAGTTCAATGTTTTGCGTCGAAATCGGCCGAACATGACGTCACTCTGACGTCATTTCCGGCGCCGAGCTATGGTAGCTACGAAGTTCATATTTTGACACAAGGTGTCAATTTAATGCAGCCGAAGGTACTAAAAGTTTTGTGTTGATACGTCAAGCGGTTTGGAAATTATTGCAGAAAACGAGAAGGGTGCTATGAATAACCCCCCCCCCCCCCAGTGGGGCGCGGGATAATGATCATACAGTGTACTTCTTATTGAACAGAGGATGTTTCTTCAGAACCTTGCCTGTTTCAAGAAACATCGGTGGGGCGTTTTGCCTCGGCGGGGCGACTTGCCCGGTATACACGACATTGTGAGGATACTTGTGGGGTAGCGAAATTGCATTCAATCTGTAAATGTCACGTTGGTTCTGTCGTCTATAATGTAAAACATGACATCAGATTTCAACTTTTCCGAGTTTCTGAATCGCGTTCTATAAATAGCGTAGTTTTAGTTGATTTATTGGAATGGAGCTTATCAGCTGATGCAATGCACAACCACTGTCCTTTCAGAACAAACCAGGCTTTTGCCAATTGTTCATGACTGAGCATTATTCGGGGCCATCAGTTGAGAGTCGCGGGCCACGACAGCGCCTCCCCCTCCCCCCCCCCCCAGCTGCCGGGAGGCGGCCCGCTCAGTTACCGGGACACGGCCTCTGACAGCCCCCCCGCCCCAGTCACTGGGGCTCAGCCCCCCAGTTACCGGGACGCGGCCTCTGACAGCCCCCCGCCCCAGTCACTGGGGCTCAGCCCCCTCAGTTGCCCAGACCCGGCCGTCTGACGGCGCCTCCCGCCCGCAGAGTCGCCCGCCAGGATGTCGGGCCGCGTGGTGACCAACATCAAGGGCTGCCTGAAGACGAACGTGCTGACGCTGCTGACGCTGGCCGGCGTGTTCGGCGGCGTCATCCTGGGGATCGCGCTGCGCCCGCCGGGCTCGGAGAAGTGGGCGCAGCGCGATGCCATGTACGTCGGCTTCCTGGGCGAGCTGTTCCTGCGCATGCTGAAGGCGCTCATCCTGCCGCTCATCGTCTCCAGCCTGATCTCGGCCGTCGGAAACCTCGACCTCAGCCTGTCGGGCAAGATCGGCGCGCGGGCTATCGCCTACTACATGGTGACCACGGTGATAGCCGTCATCATCGGTATCATCCTGGTGGTGAGCATCCACCCGGGCCAGGGCAACGACGAGGGCATCCACAAGGACGAGGCGTCCTCGCGAGACACCACCACCGCCGACACTCTCATGGACCTCGTCAGGTGAGTGTCGACACGCTCATGGACCTCGTCAGGTGAGTGCCGACACTCTCACAGACTTCGTCAGGTGAGTGTCGACACGCGCACGGACCTCGTCAGGTGAGTGTCGACACTCTCATAGACTTCGTCAGGTGAGTGTCGACACTCTCATGGACCTCGTCAGGTGAGTGTCGACACCCTCATAGACTTCGTCAGGTGAGTGCCGACGCTCTCCTAGACTTCGTCAGGTGAGTGCCGACACTCTCCTAGACTTCGTCAGGTAAGTGTCGACACGCGCATGGACCTCGTCAGGTGAGTGTCGACACGCGCATGGACCTCGTCAGGTGAGTGTCGACACGCTCATGGACCTCGTCAGGTGAGTGCCGACACTCTCACAGACTTCGTCAGGTGAGTGTCGACACGCGCACGGACCTCGTCAGGTGAGTGTCGACACTCTCATAGACTTCGTCAGGTGAGTGTCGACACTCTCATGGACCTCGTCAGGTGAGTGTCGACACCCTCATAGACTTCGTCAGGTGAGTGCCGACACTCTCATAGACTTCTTCAGGTGAGTGCCGACACCCTCATAGACTTCGTCAGGTGAGTGCCGACACTCTCATAGACTTCGTCAGGTGAGTGTCGACACGCGCATGGACCTCGTCAGGTGAGTGCCGAGTCCCGAATGCCAACTGCAACTGCTGACCCAGTCCTAGATCATGTCGTAGGTGATAGGACTGGGCGTAATTGAAATATTTGAATTTTAGGCTTTTTAGGTGCGTATGTGCTGAATAGATATGATCGGATTTTGTCTTGCCTTATCATTCAACATTTGCGATCATTCTAGAGCCTTCACCTTGCAATCAACTTTGTGGTTGGTATGATTTTTACGAATCACACTTAGGTGGGTGTGTCCAAATTCCAAGGAAAAGGCATCGAGACGCCAAAGAAAACGCAGGGGAGAGTGGGGAAAGCGGCCACCCTAACGCTTTTTACGATGCCGACGCTTGATTTTTAACCTGGGAAAGAATTTTTTATGCCAATGTGATCCCAATTAGATTGCCTTTTATTTCAACTGCGTTTCATTTCCAAAGGCATTCACATATGAGAGATATTGATAAAACTTTAAACCTATGCATTTTGGCCACTTTGCCCCATACTATGTGGCAAAGCGGCCACCGGCGACTTCTAAAGTCCCAATATGAGAAACAGAATAGTTTCCTCATTAACGTCGAGGCTATATATTTGATGGTGACAAGGTTTAATCGAGGATGAATGTTTAATCTGTCATCTTCCCACCCGTAGGTAAACAAAGACAGGATATTCATCGAAAAGCATTTAATTGCATTATTTGGTAACTCATGTAACGGAAAAGTGGCCGAGATGAATGCATGACGACACATTTCAATATCAGCAACGTTTGTTGTCCAGGGGGAAACAACTTATGGCCAATTAGGTGCTGGCCACTTTGCCCCGTCCACTTTGCCCGCGTATACCGGCAAAGACAAAAACATTCCAGCTCAGCTATAAATGAGGCAAAAAGCATTGGAATTGGTAGAAGACATGTACGATAAAGTGCACGAACAAGAACGCTTAACTGAAATTCTAAACGGTTATGGAATACAACAAAAGTAAAGATCGTAAAAATAGTAAGTAACCTGGCAAGAAATGTTTTTCCCGTGTTTCACAGAGCAATGGCAATGGGCCGGAAACCCCGGTCTGGCTCATTCGAACGACCGTGAAGAGAAGTATAATTGGCAACCATAAATTGGAGCTGACGCCAGCTGTGGAGGGCTAAAACGATGGGTGGCCGCTTTGTCCCACTCTTCCCTACATAGTACATAAGTATCTATTAATTATGTGCGATGTGTCGCCATATAAACATTATATGGCCACAGAAATGAAAGATGGCTGCCGAGGATTTGAGGCCGGTGAAAAATGTCCCTGCGCCTGCTCTCTGAATACCTACCGAGACCTTGGTGGCTTGAACAGTTTTGCTATGTCATCCACAATTCAAATATCATCCCATGCAAGCCAACGAGATCTCCTTGGGCTTGTAGGCCTCTCATTTTAAGGCAGCTCTGTGTTTATATGTACCCTAAAGACTCAGGCTTGCTGACTACGAACGCCACATTGTCTCACTGACACAGGCTGGGGCATTCCACGATAGATCGTACCAGGCCCGTGAGTCACCCTCATCTCTCAGATTTTAATGAAAATCGGTCCTATGGGTACCTAATCATAGGCCCCAAAGACGCCTGGCAAAATATCAGACTTCTCAGATCAAAACTTTTTGAGTTATATTGCATTACATTTTTTTTTTTAACTTCGGTATGTAACGGTGCGTTTGATGGCCTATAACTCAAGAACGGGTCAAGCAATCAACAAAAAATAAACAACACTAAGCTTGCGATGAATCAAAAATTAATATTACTATTTAAAAATTCCAAAGAAAAAATTTCATTGTTGAGCAAAAACCTTAATCTTTTTTCATTTGCTTCTAATGACTTTTGGGACCAAAATTTTTCACATTTTTATTTTATCAAAATAAACTTCATGTCATTGCAAATCGACATGCAAGAAATTAGAAAGGTGTTCTTTCTATAAGTTCCTCATTTTCCCGCGAACAAAATGGGTTTCGGAGGGGTTGATACGACCCCAGCACGCCGTTTCACTTCTAATAGAGCTAGAGCCTCGCAGAAAAAACGAGCGTGTGTGCCGTTACAAGTCGCAGCGATTGGTACCCGATTTTAAGGTCTCAGGTTAACCGGTAGCGTCTGAGGTCAGGTCACGTGACTGAAGTCACGGGTTCGGTTTTTAGTAAATAACTTCGCAAAAAATGGCCTCAGAGCCGCGATTTTGGCATCATTGTGTTTCCCTAGCTCAGGTGCATCGAATGGTATACTTTTTTGCTAGGGTGAGGTCAACTTAGTAGTTGACCTCGGGTCAAGGTCAGGTCAGAGCCCCTCAGGTCACGAAGCTGGGCAAAGGGTATCATGTGGCATATCATTCGATTCGAAAGGTCTTCCCGAGTCCATTGGTGGCTTTCCCGACTCTCTAGCTCCATTTGATCGGGAGTTATTGACGAAAAACTCACACGACCCTGTGTGACGTCATAAATGACGTCACACAAGGTTAACAATGCAAAAGTAAAGCATTGGACTTTGCAAGGAGTGCATGAAATCACGATACCATGTACGTGGGATAGTTTTAGATCATTCTCGGCGCCAAAATAACAGTTTTTATATTTCCCCATTGATTTATAACAGTGATGTCACGTGACCGACCTGACCTCATGTAACCTTGAAAAATTCCCAGATATACAAGTTGTGAGACCTCTGGAGGACACCATGTATGCGTCCTGTAACTTTGATCTCGGACAGCTATGGTCATTGGCGTCCAAAACAATGTCAGAACCAAACACCTTTTTCACCCTCGCGCTTATAGGAAAGAGGGTTGGATGAACCCTCTTTTCACTTTTTCGGATGACTCAGACTTAAATTGAAATTTCAGTAACCTGTGATGTCACTAGGCAGCTTTACCACGCCATTTGTAAGCTCCCCTCCCGAAATCACTATTGGAAACCGTTATCGTGACGTAAAATAAATACATTTATAGAAAGAACACCTTCCTATTTTTTTGCATACTTCTTTACAATGAGCCAAATATTTTTTTTTTAAGAAATAAAAATTCAAAAAAAAAATTGGTCCCAAAGTCCAAAAAATACAAATGGAAGAAAATTCGATATGTCATATATAAAAAAGCGTATTTTTCGAAATTTAAAAAATACATATTAATCTCTGTTTCATTGCAAGTTCAATGTTATATAACATTTGGCTTTTGAATAATCCGTCTTAGAGTTACAGCCCGCCAAACTTATCGCTGCAAAGCAAGATCCAAAAAATGTTATACACCATAACTCAAAAAATACTTACCTGATAAGCCTAAAAAAATTGTTACAGGTGGATTCAGAGTCCCTGATTACCCCTCAGACCAATTCTCGTCAAATTCCGAGAGATGAGGGTGTCAAATTGGAAAAAGTGGTACGATCTATCGTGGAATGCCCCACCTGTGCAAAGTATCGTGTTTGGGGCTCAAAGAATCGGACGGCTCGTGATGGCGCGAAAGCATACATTTTTGCTGATGATTTATCGTCATCACTTTTGACATTTGACGACATTAATTCACCAACATGAAGTTTATCAAATTTACAGCTAGCGAACTTTAGTGTGACCATGATAAACAAACTGGCATCGTTTTTTACTTTTGCTCATTTTCAGGATATTGTGAAGCTGCTTGGTGTGATGCACATAAATCATCTAAGTGCCATTGATGATATAACCATTTGATGTATAACTACGTGAATATTAAATGCGTTTTCTCCGTTTGGGACAATGTACGCATTCAATCATATCGCAGTACTGCGTCTGATTTAGCGGCCTGGCGTGGTCTCGTCTGTCGCCGCACAGCGCCGTGCCGCTGATTCACGGCGGTCGCGCTGCGCTGCACCGTGCACCCTCTGCACGTGACCCCGACCCCGCAATCAGCCGGTGACGGGCCAGCCTGCCGAGCAGCTAATGCCATGTTTATACTGCCGCGTCTTGTGCTGCAAACATCCGGCGGCGGAGTTCAGGAGTATCGGCGGTGTCACCCGCGTGCCGCCGAGTTGGACAACTCCGTCACGCCGCTGCAGCCGGGCCGAGCTCAGATGTCAACACACGGCCGATTGCACCGTCTGTCACAGCTCGGCGAGTCGCGGAGAGCCCCCGCGGGGTGCCTGCAGCAGGGCGCGCTCATTAAGCCGTCTGACGGCAGCGGTGGGCCATTCCTCTCCGGCCGCACTTCTAAACAGCATGTGACTGTGAAGTGTTGCACACAGTGCCGTCTGGACAGTGGCTGCCCTGACCGGCAGCGGATGACACCCAGAGCTGGGGGCGCTGGTCACCGATCTGAGAGGTGAATGGGGTCACTAGAGAGAATGTTTCTGGTCCGTCCAACTTGATGATGTCAATCCGAAATCGTCACCT